ATGGGTTGATGTTGGAGCTGAGGGGTTGATGTTGGAGCTGATGGGTTGATGTTGGAGCTGAGGGGTTGATGTTTAATGTTGGGGATGACTATTCCCTTTGCCACTAGTTAGTTTATTTCTAGATCTGGGTGGCTGCTCAGATCTCTAGGACAATCTGTGGGATCAGTTCATTCAATTCTAATCTTGTCCTTATATCGAACATTCTAGGAATGAAGGTTATCTCGTTAGACATTGTGTCTGCAGTGAGCAGACTGAATCTTTCTAAAATGACTTAATGCCGAAATGAGATTTCCATCTGCCTCACACTGACCTGAGAGCTTGTCCTATTAACTATCGTGTTATTCTGCCCTATCAGCTGTAAGAATATGAAGTAGTTAACTTTTCCTGTTCATATGTATTTCATGCTTAGATCAGGTTTATAATCATTAGTGCTGACTGTAAGGATATGAAATAGTTAAACTATTTTTGCTTTATATGCTTTAAAATAATGTTTGAAATAATTATCTGACTTTGGCAGATGTATTTGGTACCAAGGTCTTCCTTCTAGAGGATGTGCAACCTTGCTCGATCTCAGGATGTTTCTGTCCCGCCTTTATTCAAATGCTTATCTTTTAATGTCAGAGAAGTATGTACTATTAACTATAAGGAAGTGAAAAATCTCGCTGCTTGCATGACAAACTGTGTATAAATGCTAGCCCTTAAAATATACTCACTGAGAATCTTGTTAAAACACATTTGTGGTGTCCGTATCTTTATTGGTAACAATGATTCTCCATCAATATTGAATATGGTGACTGGAGAATCGAGAATCGAGGGGAGTTGAGTCCAGAACAGCATTAACCCTTTCAGCTTGGTGTTTGAAGTGGGATCAGCAAAACCATTTGCGGTAAGTAGCCTTTTTGTGTCTTATTGACGCTAATTGTCTATGACCCCCTTTGGTTCAGTAAGTCTGTATCCAGTAGAAAGGAAAGGTGTAAGGACTTTAGTTATATTGAGACTGTAAATAGGTCTCCGGTTTATTAGACATTTGGTCTAAATATATATAGGGGTTTTTGGTATCTCCGGTTTATAGGGTTTTGGTAACCCAGGTTAGTATCTAAGATAGATACAGGGTATCTCAGGTAGATACAGGTTTTGAGACCATTAGAGGTCTCCGGTTTATTAAGACTATAGGTGTTCTGAGGAGCACGGTTTATAGATCTATATGTATACCCCAAACTTCTCTTTCTCCTGGTCACCTTTGTTTGTCTTAAGTGTTCTTTGTGGGTGATTGTCTGTATTGGGGACACACTTTGGTAAGTTAGTAGTGTGTCTGCCCTGAGTCAGCAGTATGGGAAATGTAAGTTCAGGTCCTGAATGACCAATATATATACATATATATAAGATACCAGTACTGTATATTAGAAAAGAACTGACTCGCAGGTTGTACCTGATAGTAGGTCACTACATGATACTTAATCAGGGAACCTGTAAATTGCATTAGAAAGATTTTCAAAACGGCTGCCGCATTTAACTACATTTCCCATGCGGCTTAGCGGCGGCACTCCCGAAACCCGGAAGTGCCGCCGGTCACGTGACCATTTCAAATAGCTTTAACTAAACTTTCTCATTCTCGTTTTACATTTAAACATAAACTAATTAAGTTGTATAACTATTAATTATGCGTCTAAAGAGTTACTTCTGTATTTTAAAGTTGTAAATTTTCTTTTAATTTTGATTGGATGAACCAAGTTTTGGCGCCAAAATTCAATCAATTATGCTCCTATATAATCTCTATGTGCCAGGTAAATCATGTTAATCCATTTGATAAAGTCCCTTTTGTGACGAAACGCGTTATGGATATTTGAATATTGTGTTTTTTATATATATTAAAGTATTTTTGGTCATTTGCCAATTATCTTTTTTATAGACACATATCCTTCTTTTTACCCTGGCCTTTTTACTATCATTTTAATTATTTTTAATGGTTTTAAAAAAAAAAACTAAAAAAATTCCTGGAAGTTTCCAGTACCCAAAGAAATCCGTAGGTGGGGATCAATCCACCCAAGCCATCAAAAAAGAGCAGTGGGTCTGCTCTTTCTTTGTAAGTACATTTCTTTTATTATTTTATTATTATTTGCTATACAGTGAGCACTATTGGCTGTTTGTTTTATCCCGAGAATTGGATACCATTCACGGTGAGGAACCTGCTTTATATCCCACAAGCGGTGATTAAACCTTACTAGCTGGACATTAGCTCTGGTAAATGTGAGTTTTATACTATTAT